GAAGTCGCAGAAAAAATGAAAGAAAAACGAGCAGCGTTCACCCCCCCCCCCCCCCCCAAGTCGACGCCAGAACAAGCGACCATGTGACCTGGTGCCGATTATATTCCGCCAATGTATATCATAGAGGGAACGCGACAGAACAGCACATGACAAAACAGCACGGTCAATACAGCACGCATCAAAACAACACAGCCTCAAAACAGCATGGCGACAAAAACAGCACGCGTCAAAATGGCACGCCACAAAACAGCACAGTGTCAAAACGGTGCAGCGACAGAAGAGCACGTGCCGAAACAGCATGGCGTCAAAACAGCACAGCGACAAATCATCACTCATGTAGCAACTTCGAGCGCGCTCTTCACATCCCTCTGTCACTTTTTCGCAATCTCGTCGAAACTTTGTCACCAATTTCGTCCATATTCTTAGCGAAGGAAGTTTAACGTTTGCCGTGATGAGTAATTAAATAAGCTTACAAGCTCAATTTCGGAACCAACGTTCGTTTGGTAGGTTCGTTGCGAAAAGTTCCCGTCTCGTGTAGCAACTTTTTTTTCTCATCTATTTCACACCTTCCCTCAAATAAGGAATGCCTTTTTTAATTACTGTGTTTATATATATCTGTAAAAGAAAAAAAACGAGGTAGAAAATCACAGAATCAATTAATATATCGTTTCCTTTGATAGTTTCTTTTGGTACCATTATGTTAACCCCGTTAATTATTTTCTTTGGTAGCAGTGGTTGCTGCATTTATACTGACCGGTTTTTTAGTGCAAAAGGCGATAATTATCCTGATCCGTCAGTGTTGAGTGTTAAACATATTGCAATAGATAGCGTTTTGCGAAAAGAAAATAGAATGTAAAGGAAAAGGGTTGGACATTGCGTCCCTATTGAAAATTCCATCAAGCTACGTAATTTGGGACACTGACTGCCAGTCAGGAGCCTTGGTGGAACGTGATGGACCATCAGACGTCATCTGATGGTCCATCAGATGACGTCTGACTGCCACTGCCAAGGGATTTTCATCAACAAGGGCAGCATTTATATAAGAGTAAAGCTATACGCACTCATAAATATAGCCAAATGCCTCGATAAAACAAAATGCTCGAAAAAAAAAAAAAAAGCAGCACCACCGTGCATCGAACCCGCGACCACATGCGTACAAATCGCGGACACCTTAACCGCTATGCTACGCCAGAAGTAGAGAAACTCGACTTAACTATTCGTTTTATACAAAATGCTTTGGCTGCAAATGCAGTTAAGCCGTTAGCATGTTACGCAAAGCACTCGTACATCACTCGCCGTACTTCAGTTCTACTCACCTGCCATGTAGAGTACTTTCGCGTCGTAGAACGATCCTTTTGTTCGCGCATCACCGGCCCAGTAGACCTGTGCACCCTGTCGTCTTCAACTACACCGCTAAAGTCCCTTACATCGTCGGAACTCACAACAGGCTGGGTCTTGTCGAGTAGAAATTTTACTAAAACATAAGACATTGTAGAGCCCGGGCAGGATCGACAGGTTGGAGCAAGCGGGCAAACAAAACGAGTCGAGAGCGATCGTTCATGAAAGCTCGGCTAAGCCTCTATGGGCGAAGCGAAGTGCGAAGTGTCGTGTTCGGCGCTTCGGCGGGCTTGTGATCAAGGTTGTCGGTCGGTTGCGTGTCATATCTGTAACGTCAGCGGTTTTATGGGCTCACGTCCCAAAATTGTTTTCGCGTGCATAGATTACTTTTCGTATTCACAGATTTGACGAAATAGTGGTATCCAAACGAACATTACGTCCTTTGACCGTACGTCTGTCTGCACGTCAAAGCTTTCTGACGTACAGTCAGAGACAATCGATGTACAGTCAGAATCACCACCAAGACATCCTGATGGCATTTCGCGGCGGCCAACTGCCACCAGGAAACAATCAGAAAGCCGACAAGCGGGGTCTGACTGGAGTTTGACTGTCGGTCAGAGTAACTTGTCCAATCAGACATGCTTGACGTACAGTCAGGCACAGTCAGCGGTCCACTAGAAAACATTGACTGCCAAACAGGGTTACATTGATGGATTTTTCCTTCGGGGTGGCATTATTTAACAGTTGGTGGAGAAACAATTAAAAATTGTTTTCCACCCTTCGCCCTTAAGTCTGTGTCCTGAGTGCTGCTGCTGTGTGATTGCTAAAAACAAATAAAGTTAGCAGTAGTTACTACTACTTCACTACGCTGATCTCTGAAGAGATTGGGTAGTTAGAGGTGATATCTTCGCGTCGATGTTGGCCACATTGTGTTACGGAGCATGGTTGAACGTCATTCTCATTACCACATAACAGGCCGTCCTTTTATGCCTAGACATATTTTCAGCTTCGTTATTCGCGATAGCAGAGTCGGCAATCCAAAGTGCTTTGCGAGAAGTGGACGTTCTTAAAAGTGTAGTTTATATTTACGCGACGAGCAATATACTCTTTCTTTTTCTTTTTTTATGCACGTTCTACACGTCACCAAACGGCTATAGCCACTGAGAGCTTAAAAAAAAAAAAAAGAAACACTTGGTGTGGCGAATCTCGAGTATCACACTATCGCCCCGCGATCGAGGAGAATGCAACATTAGTAAACGAGAACGCCTAAGAACGAATTTCGAAGCGAGGAGCGTGACTATCATAAAGACTCCCGGTGTTTCCTCGGCTTCCAGCGATTATATAATAAAACCATCGTTGTGCTCCGTTTTCACAAAGGCCAAGTACGGCATGTGGATCCCGTTCCTCGTCCTGGGCTTTCTGGCCGGCTCGGGAGGCGTGGCTTCCGCCTGGCTGCCGGAGACCGGGGGCTACCCGCTTTGTCAGACCGTCGGCGACGTCACCGAGTTGCGCAAGAACCAGAAATTTTTCTCCTGGAACAGGTAATCATGAAAAAAAAAAAAACACCATGAACGGATCTGCTTTTTAATGTCTACGTGACGTTAATAAATCACTGTATTGACTCTCATAAAAAAACAGTATAGTCACAGTCAGACATCATATTATCCCTCTGCAGCCACCGAGGTTTCGACATTAGCAATAACATCTCCGCACATCGAGTCACGAAGCATAAAGGCCCGTTCACACTCTTGCGACCGAGTACGACTGAGAGAGACGAGATCTCTTAAAATTTCTTAAATGTTTTTAGAATGAGGGAACACACTGGCATTGTGGCGCCATCTATGCGGTGACCCTGAAACTGCATTTCACAAGACCGAAGGTTTTGCGGGATTTCCGAGGTCAAATGTGCGTAATACGCATAGAAAGGCTCGTTTATAACATTGACAAAAGTTTTTTGAGCAAAGAAAGAAAGGATAATGCTCGAGAAATAAAAAAAAAATATGCCGGACCGCCCAGGTTTAAGAGGTCGCAAGAGTGTGAACGGGCCTTCAAGTATGAAACTTTTAAGTCGTGCCCTGCGCTTCACAGAGGCGCCCTGGGGAGGTTTCTGAGATCGCCTAAATATGGCGAAAACTCAATCTGTTGGGTCTATGCATCCTCGATATCCCGAAATCCTGACGATACGCGGCCGATTTCCCTATTTAAAAATCAATAAAAGATCGCGACACACCGATGTCATTTCCGGTGATGGGAGGACCATGTTCCGAAACCAGGACCACTGTCAGCCAATAGAAAGCGAAAGATGCTGGCGCCTCCGACCAGTGGAACCGCGGAGTGATATCTTAAATGCGCAGAGTCAGTGACAAATGCGCCAGAGTGCGTACACGATTAACTCTCTCCTGCACCCCCCCCCCCCCCCCCCTCCCCCAACCGCCTTCCCTATGTTTTAACACCGCCAACACCAACAACTCAAACGCGCGCGGCTCGTTGCCCATACAGCCCGGACTCCGATTCAACCCAGCGAGCGCGCGCTCGAGGGGATGAGGACGATTCGTCACACGCGCACTCGCCACAGGACGACTGGTCACAGGACGATTCGTCACATAGGAATATTCGTCACAGGATAACTCGTCATGCGGGCAACTGGTCACATCGATCGGATAGTAAATCTTACATTTCAACAACTGCCCACATTCCCTGATGAGGAGTTTCACGACTTCCCACTGTCACATAAACCAATGGTTAGGAAAACTAATCTTACAATACTCCTCCGCTTTTACATTCATTATACTACGAGTCTTCACCAGGTTGATCTCAGTTGCTGGCTTGAACGAGCAATAGTCCGACTGGCAGCCAAATCAGTTTTCACTTTTGCCTTGCATGCACCTATTCGACAAAATCAATAAGTATCGGAATTCTTTCTTCTGAATGTGTACGAGTGCCCCTCGTGCAGCATCATGGCTCTACCTCTCTCTGTTGCGATCACTTCATTATTTTGAATGTAGTTAGAGTTCAAAAATAGTTGCTCTTATATGGACTCCGAATTCACTCTTCGGGACGGACCCAGAAGATAAAACGTCTGTTACAAATTCTTTGACCTTGAAAAGCGAAAGGAGGAGGGGGAGGAGGAAATACTTCATTTGTCTTAGGGTGATTGTTGAGCGGGCAGGATAGGAAGCTTGTCCCCACCTGGTGGCTAGGAGTCCATGGTCCCCACTGACCCACTCAGCCCCTTGGGTGACCCTGTCATGAAGGGGATGAGGACGATTTGTCACATGCGCAGTTGTCACGGGACGATTGGTCACAGGACTATTCGCCAAATAGGAACATTCGTCACAGGATGACTCGTCATGCGAGCAACTAGTCACATCAATCGGGCAGGGGACGAAAGTAAATTGTAAATTTCAACAACTGCCCACATTCCCCGATGAGGAGTTTCACGACTTCCCACTGTCACATAAACCAATGGTTAAAAAAAAAAACAACTAACCGTACAATACTCATCCGCGTTTCCTCGCATTATATTACGAGTCTTCAGCAGGTTGATCTCAGTTGCTGGCTTGAACGAGCCATAATCCGACTGGCAGCCAAATCAGTTTCTACTTTTGCCTTGCATACGCCTATTGGACGAAAACAATATTTATTTATTTATTTATTTATTTATTTATTTATTTACCCTCAGGGCCAGAGGCGTTACAGAGGGGAGTGGGTATTAAAAAAGTACAACATAACATACAGCGTACAACAGAAAATATTATACAGTAGTGATGGCTCTTTACAAAAAAATATTGGAAACGGCAGTTTTAAAACACTCGATATCGGGGATTTCGGCAATGGCTCCGGGAAGGTGATTCCACATTGTTGAGGCACTAGGAATAAAAGACTCGTAAAAATGTTTAGTACAACAAGAAGGAATGGCAACTTTATGACGGTGATCGATGCGTGCTGAAACGTAATAAGGTGTTGTTAGTAGTCTTTCTTTTAGAATCGGATTATTATGATATATCTTATGAAACAAGCACAGACGGAACATTTTTCTACGTTGTGAAAGAAGAGGTAATGATAGGCTAGACTTCATTGCGGTCACACTGGATGTACGATGATAATTTGAAAGAATGAAACGGGATGCGCGGTTCTGAATCGCTTCTAATTCGGAGATAAGTGATTCTTGACCAGGATCCCAAACCGAAGCTGCATATTCCAATTTAGTACGAACTAATGTTTTATATAAAAGTAATTTTAATGAGCTGGGAGCAAGACAAAAATTTCTTCGGAGATATCCAAGCATGCGGTTGGCGTTATTTACAATATATTCAACGTGGCACGACCAGGACAGATTAGCAGATATATGCACACCCAGATATTTATACGATGATACGGTTTCGAAAGAGAGATTATTTAGACGATAAGAAGCACAAGGAGTGTCAAGACGGGAAACACGCATAGATTTACACTTATTAATGTTTAGTTTCATGTTCCACAAATCACACCACTCAGAAACACTGTTAATATCTGACTGAAGAAGTGAGATGTCAGAATCACTGTTAATTTCGCGATAAATGACGCAGTCATCGGCAAAGAGACTGACGGATGAACATATATTAGTGGGAAGGTCGTTAATATAAATGAGAAAAAGTAAGGGCCCCAGAACCGAGCCTTGGGGCACACCTGAGCCAACTGGAGATAAATCAGAATTGATATTATTAGCCGTCACAAATTGGGACCGGTTAGTGAGGAAGGAGCGCAACCATGCAAGAACGTTAATGTCTAAGTTTAGTTTAGTCAGCTTGAGAAAGAGAAGTTCGTGAGATACTTTATCGAATGCCTTTGAGAAATCGAGGAATATGCAGTCAGCCAGAGATCCACGATCAAGAATGGAATGTAGATCATGTGTGAAACACAAAAGCTGAGTTTCACATGAAAATGACTTACGAAACCCATGCTGGGATGAATTGAAAAAAGAATTGGACTCTAAGTAGTTTGCAAGATGGGAGTAAATGATATGTTCCATGATTTTACAGGGAATGCTGGTAAGTGACACGGGTCGAAAGTTATTTGGACAATGCTTTTCACCTGATTTGTGCAAAGGAATCACCTTCCCGATCTTCCAATCCTCTGGTATACTACCTGTATCAAGAGACTGCTGAAACAGTTTACTCAGGATTATAGAGCTATACATCTTAGTATTAAGCAAAAATTTAGAGTTGATATTATCGATACCAGAGGATGACGACATCTTCAGTTTTTCTATTATTCTCGCAATACCAACTGTGTCAATAAGAACTGGGTCCATTGGAAAAAACTCGTAAGTGTGACAGGCAGGGTAAGTAGCATTTAGATTAGTAGAAAACGCTGAAACAAACACCGCGTTGAGAATGCTAGCGCATTGACCGCTAGGAACTACTGTGCCATCAGTACATCTAAGTGTTATAACATGCTTGTCAGTCTTGTTTACAACATTCCAGAATTGTTTAGGGTTATGTATGAGCATGGAAGGTAAAGTTTGACTAAAAAATGAGTATTTCGCTTCTTTTAGTGCTACTTTGTAATTAGTAGCTGCACATCGGTACGTGTCCCAACGAGACTGGGAATTGGATGATTTCGCGGAACGAAACAAGCGTTTTTTCTTGTTTGACAACCTTTTCAGTGACTGGTTAAACCACGGTGATTTCCGGTTCGATCTGATGGTTCTCAATGGTATGAACTTATTTGTGAGTGAAGCCACTTCATTTATAAATAAATTCCAGTTCATATTTATAGATCTCTCATCAAACCCTTGTAGGAACTTATCCAGAAACAGACATAGCTCTCGATTAATAGCAACAAAGTCCGCCTTTTTATAATCTCTAATACATTTATAGTGGTTATCTTGATTAGGAACAGGAATGTCCAATGTGAAGTGAAGCAAAGAATGATCGCTTAAACCTGTTAAGTAAGTTATGGGACTGACAAGGTCTGGGGAGGTGGTCAATACAAGATCCAAGACACTTGATGATGTGGGCGTAACTCGGGTTGGCTTGGTTACAACTTGCGAGAGATTGAAATCAGCACACATGTTCAAGAAATTGCTACACTCGGTAGAAAAGGAACAAAGATAAGGAGATTCGTTCGACCATAAAATATTTGGATAATTAAAGTCGCCTAGTAACATTATTGAAGCATTTGGGAAACGTACCATAATTGTATTAATTGAATCATGTAAATTGCCAACAAAAGTCGCACTGAACGATGGTGGACGATAGCAAACACCCAAGATAAGCGTTTTGAAACGCATGCGAAGTTCAACCCAAACAAGTTCCAGGCTGCTTACGACATCTACAGTAGACGAGATAATGTAATCGGCGACGGCAATCAAAACACCACCGCCGCGTCTTTCTCCTCTGTCATGCCGAAAAACATTGAATCGCCTGGTACACTCAAAAAGCTCATTGCTCCCAACCTTTGCGGAAAGCCACGTTTCAGTAAGTACCACTACATCAGCATCGCATGAGTCAATGACAGAGCCCAGTTCATCACGTTTAGATGAGACGCTTCGAATGTTAGTGAAAAGAAGAGAAAGTTTATTTTTGTTATCAGACGCCAGTCCACTACCCCTCACGTGTTGTTATCGCGAAGTGCTTGCCGGTGATGCGTCACCTTCAGCGTTTGAACTTCGATTCAGGCTGCGCTGATTAGGGGTGCTAACATGTTCAAACACACAGTCATCGACTGGGTTGTAACTGTAGGTCTTGTTATTCATGTAAAGTTTGTTGTATTTTAGTTTAAACACCGAGTTCTGCGTTTTCGCAAATTCAATCAGCTTTCTGCGTGCCTGACGTGTCGGGACAGAATAATCCTCGCTGACGGTAATGCCACCAGGCTTTAATTTTGCGCTTGAAAATAAAATTTGTTGTTTTAATTTGAAGGATAAAAATTTTACTATCACTGGTCTGCATTTGTTATCTGAAAAGACACCGAGCCTATGTGCACGTTCGATAGATTCACTTGAAATAGGAAAATTCAGAGAGGTCGACACGACGTTCAGTAGCTTTTCCTCAGTCTGGGCCCAGGTTTCTGAATGAGCATCCGTCAAGCCGTAAAACAAAAGATTATCGCGTCGTGACCTGTCCTCGAGCTCAGCCTGGCTAGCCCGTAATCGTGAGTTCACATCAATGAGGCTATCAGTCCTCTGCCGTAACAATGACAAGTCTCGCTGTAGGAGGTCGCTGGACGAAGATTTAGATTCTACCGCAGTCAGCCTTTTATCGATATCTGTGATTCTGCTCTCGATTAATTCCTGGCTTTTCTTAATGTCATTTACGGTGCTGATTAAACTTGACTGGTCTTTTTCCATTTTTACTGTGCGCGAGTTAACACCTTGTAACATGACAAACATATCGTTAAACTGTTTTTGCATTGCGTCAGTCATTGGACTATTAGTTTCTGATGGAGCGGCATCTTGGGTCCGCTTAGGTCCTGGGTTTAATTCAACGTCCCCTGACATTAACAGTACTTGGCTAAGAACGTCAAAGCACTGACAGCACAAAGAGAACAGCACTCCCGGGCATGGGAACAGGAAGAGGCATACGTCATCACACTTTTTTCCGAATAAAGACGTATCATTACTAACCTGCGTAAGCAAGCGCACGACGTGAATGAGCCTCATCGTGACGCTGTTCCCATGCCCACTGGGAGTGCCAGGGTTCCGCCAGTCGTTCTTATCGAAGAGTGAAGATGATGATGCTGTCGATGACGTTGCCTTGCTTGACTGAGGAATAATCCAGCATGGTTGCCAGCAGGGCGCGCACAAAAAGCCGTCCTCGCCGTTGGCTGCTTGAAGCTGTAGTGCAGCAGAATCCCAGGAAGTGGAGGCAGTCGATCCCAAGCAGCACTGAAGGCATGCCGTGACCTGCGTAAGCAAGCGCACGACGTGAATGAGCCTCATCGTGACGCTGTTCCCATGCCCACTGGGAGTGCCAGGGTTCCGCCAGTCGTTCTTATCGAAGAGTGAAGATGATGATGCTGTCGATGACGTTGCCTTGCTTGACTGAGGAATAATCCAGCATGGTTGCCAGCAGGGCGCGCACAAAAAGCCGTCCTCGCCGTTGGCTGCTTGAAGCTGTAGTGCAGCAGAATCCCAGGAAGTGGAGGCAGTCGATCCCAAGCAGCACTGAAGGCATGCCGTGACCTGCGTAAGCAAGCGCACGACGTGAATGAGCCTCATCGTGACGCTGTTCCCATGCCCACTCTATATAATACGTATCGGAATTCTTTCTGCCGAATGTGTACGAGTACCCCTCGTGCAGCATCATGGCTCTACCTCTCTCTGTTGTGATCACCTCCATCTTTTTGAATGTAGTCTGAGTTCAAAAATAGTCGGTCTTATATGGCCTCCGCATTCACCGTTCGGGACGGTCCCAGAAGCTAAAAGGTCTGTTACAAATTCTTTGGCCTTGAGAAGCGAAAGACATGCTAAAATAAGAGGTGACCCACTTCGTCAGGCCGAACCAACATTCAATGTCCCGACCGACCCAGAAGCAAACCCGTCTGTTACAATATCTTCACCTCTCAGCAGCCAAATACATACTAAGATATGAGGCGAGCCACTTTGTCCGCCCGAACTAAATTGAATAATACATTTTTGGGGGGATGAACCATTGAAGGACCGGTCGGCAGCGTGACGAGTCATCCTATGGCGAATGTTCCAGAGTGAAGAATCGTCCTGTGACCAATCGACCTGTGACGAGTGTGCATGTGACGAATGGACCTATCCCGCGCTCGAGCGTTGGAAAGCTCACAACATCACTTCCGCAAAAGACAAAAAAAAAAAAAAAAAAAAAGTTAGTGCGTTGTTTTTGAGGCGATTATTGCGGTATTGTGTTCCCTTTTCAATTAACATTTTTCGACTACTGTTATTTGCTTTTATCACCTTCAAAAGCATACACTTTTTGTGGTAACCAGCGTTTGCAATTTCAGCAAAATGTCGCGTTTTCATTGGTCACATGTCCTCGCTGCCGGAACAATGCTTCTCCCATCGCTGGAGATAACCTCGGAGTGTTCGATTTTTTATTGCTTTTTAATAGGAAAATCGGTCGCTCATCGTTTTAATTTACGGATTTTGAGGGTGCTTGGATCCCCCAGAGTGAGTTATCACCATATTTAGGCGATTTCCAAAACCTTCTCATGGCGCCTTTAAGGTGGAAGTTACTATGGCTGATTGTATGTGTGAGTTTGAGTCACTTCATAAAATTATAATATGGGACACTTTTTTTCCCTTCACAGACGTAAACATTTGTTTTCCTGGTAACAACTTGGGTGTCTAATTAGAGCTGTATTTTCGGTTCTCACTCAGACGTCTGATGCCCAAACAGGGCAAAACAATACACTTTCGCTCAACACTTACTGACAGATTGCGGGTATCCCGATGCGAAAATATGTCAACATCGCGTGCTATTCGTAACTACATAAAAATATTTCAAATTGTTTTGATCCCCACAAAAGCCATCTTTTCCTAAAGACGTGTTTTCCAACAGTTTATCAACACATATGCTCATAAAATAAATTTGCATTGTTCTTAAATAAAAATTTTATTTGTGTTATTTTTATTGATATTACAATATGGGTGCAAATCGTTTAGGGTTCTGCCCTTTGGCATCAATACGAAAACCCCGGGGAAAAAAAATGCCGCTAAAAGTTTCTGTTAATTAAGATTTATCCAATAAACTCCAAATTTTGATGTTCCAATTTCCCCCAATAAAAGATAAATAAATAATTATAATAAAAAAGACAATATTTTTACAATTAAGTTTGATCAGAGCACCGGGTCAATAGTCCTGCAAAAATGACACCACCTTTCAAATCTCTGACCATTTTTAAAAGTGGTCTTACGCTATCTCGTCAAGGTTCTTTCAGGAGAACAGGTCATTGTAAATTCAGGTCACAACAAAAGCCACTGTTTGGTTTTCCAGTTTGTGACTTACTATGTGTGCTTTAGAGAAAGAAGAGGTTGTGTTTTAAAACAGTAAAACTATCAACCACAGAGATTGCATAAAATGGGGAAGAGGGGCAGTTCAAACTTATATATGGCATCCTTTACCAGTCCACCTTTCGCGGGCGTAGGGTAAGTTCATGAAATAGGATGGGATGAATACGAGCTTCCCAGCGACTATCTCCAGAGGTTTATTCTTAAGTAATTGAGGTTTGTCGAAGCAACACTTCTGTGAACTTTTGGCATGGTACAAATTATTATTGTCATTGGCAATGGCACCAACGCCAAATACAACTAAAGAAATATTAATTGACACAGGAGCGATATATTTTTTATCTAGCATACCGTTCCACTCGGATATTGTTTATTTATTTATTCACGTTTAATAAAAAAAAACACTGCGAAATTAAACTTTGAATTTCAGAAAATTAACAAGTGAACGGAAATAAACTCTCACAAACTTCGAATTTTCGGGAAAATTGAAGTCCGAAAAACCCCCTCCGAATCAGACGAAAAATAAGCTCTGAAAACACGGAATCCCAAATAATTTTCACTCAATTTCCAAGATTCCATGGCATTTCATTTATCTGTTGTTATTGCTTCGTCAAGTAGTTGCCAACAAACTTGTTTACATTTTTCTTTTTTGAACACAGCCTTAAGAGTATAAAGTACCCCAGCTTGTTCTGAAAATATTTTAGCAGCGACATTTCCTGGAGCGCGCCTTTCCTGTCCACGTTTGAAAGCGATGCCCCTCTTTCAGAATATTCCGAAACTCCCTTAATCGTTATACTATACGGGCACTTCAAAGAAACTACGGCTTATGCCTTCGGAATTCACTGTGCGTCAGCTCAAACGTCTAAATTGTCATATCATCCACGTAATAGCTTCTGGTTTACTGCTTACTAAACTAATAGGTATTTGAGCTAAAAAAGAAAATGCAACGCCCATCTGGTATAATTTTAATGAAACCCCGAAGAAAAACAGGCAGTAAGGAACCCGATGCTTTCTCCTTCTCTTTTCTTTTTCCCGCGATTACGTCCTTCTGAGACCAACTTGGTTTTCCGGTGGCACGTCTAGTTTCGCAGGTGATTGTTGGCTGCTGTAGTATTTTTCTTGTTCGAGGTCGGTTCTTCTGCAAACGTGCGGCCCCATTGTAGTGGGATCTCTGTTCCACCACTATTGAGTTCGCCAAAACAAGCAATTTTTAGACTTAGCTAGCTACTCCTAATTATCGGACTCCGGGAGAAGTTTGGGCTGCGCTTGCGTTTTTCTCAAGAGTATTACTGCTTGTAAACAACACGTTATAATTTGTGTTCTATAATTTACGAAAGTGAAAGATATATGTTATAATTAGTCGTCCTAGTTCTTGAAACTAAAAAAAAAACTTCATAATTTATTTTGGACACATTGTGAACACAATTAAAATGTCGCGATGTTAAATAATAAAAATAAACGTTTAGTTTAAACGAATCAATAATGTCGCATTCCCTAGTTTCCTTGTAGGTATGTATAGTATCGGCCTAAAACACTTTTACGACAGTTTAAAAGCACGCTAAGAAAGATTAATCGCAAGAAAATAAGTAATCGCATGTACTGAGCTAAGAAACATGATATCATATATTCCTATTACATTTTTTTATTAAAATCAAATGTTCGAATATTATTTGCGGCTCCTTCCTCTTCTTCGTTTGGAGCGCTTGATTAAGAAACTACATTACTGGTTCACAAGTCCGTCACAAATATGCAATGTTTATATTTTAACGAATTAACCCCGTTAAAAAGGTCCTCATATTAACACTTTTCGAACTCATAAAAAAGTACCAAACTTTAATACGCATTCGCATGTGACTTGTAAGTATAGCAACGTTGCGGGTGTAGTATTATAAGCTGGTATTTTGTATAAAACTTGCGAAAGAATTATCTTCGAGCAAGCTCCTCTTACATAAAATTCAGCTCTGTACTAAGACACCATTAATACCCGGACAAATGTACAAGAAGACAGTCAAGCATCAGGCCACGTTATTGAATAAGAGGGTGAGGAAAAAAACGGTGAAAGGTGAATACTGAAATATATCTTATGCTTGATTTCCAAGCCCATTTGCAAAGTATATTAGTCATGGCAACAAATATATAGTTTCTTTGGAATATTAAAATAGTATTCACAAACAGTGCTACTGAAATAAAAAATACAGTTGAAGACATGCAATTAATTTGAATTATTTTAGTTTTATTTACTTAACTCATGAAGCAATTTCTTGAAACGGTAGAGTCAAAACATATTTTACGTTAAACAAGCTTATGGTCCAAACATTCCCTACACTTCAATTTTTTTCTGGGAAGCAGTCGCGGAGAAATGACAAAGTTGCGAAGGACAACAGGGCGGTCGGACTCGCATATGTTTAAAAAACCTATGTTATTTGAGAGACTTTTATTTCATCTCATTTCATTTCGTTTATTGTCTCTCAGGGCCCGAAGGCATTAAAGAGAGTGGGGCACGGTACATAGAACAAAGCAAATAACAATGAAAAGGCAAAAACTACACGAAATAACAACTAAACTTCATTTAACAGATTAGTAATGGCACTGTACATGGAATAAAACGAATATCAATGAAAAGGCATACAATACACAAACTTACTACTAAACATCATATAACAGGTTAGTAATGGAAATCTTAAATTTATCTGAGGCAGTGATTTTGACAATGGCTGCGGGAAGGCGGTTCCAGTCAATCGAGGTTTGAGGCAAACGAAAGGCATTAAAGGTAGATGTGCTGCAATGAGGGATCCCAACTTTTAATTGATGACCGCTGCGTGATTGTATGCAAAGTGGTTCAGAAAATAGTGCTTAGCGGAGAGTAGGGTTCGAGTGATAAATCTTATGGAACAGGCATAGGAGGAATATCGTTCGACGAAGAGCAACGATAGATAGGCTTTCATTAAAGTGGTGCTAGCTGTGCGGTGATAGTTAGAACGTATAAAACGGGCGGAGCGGTTTTTCATGGATTCTACGGCACATGCAAGGGTGATACCAGGGTTCCAGATTGAGGCAGCATATTCAAGTTTAGGGCGAATTGAGGTTTTATAAATGAGAAGCTTTAATGAAAGAGGCGCAAAAAAAGTTTCTTTCGATGAATCCTAATAATTGATTAGCGTTTTTCGTGACATAGTCGCGATGAATATTCTAGGACAGATCATTTGAAATGTGAAC